ATGGACTGGAAACCCCAAGGTCCAAATGGGAAACACCTCCGAAGGTGGTGGAGAATGACCAAGCGAAGATCCTGTGGGACTTCCAGATCCAGACTGACAAGATGGTAATGGCGAACCAACCGGATATCGTGATCATAGATAAAGGGCAGAGGAAAGCCGTTGTAGTGGATGTAGCGGTCCCAAGTGATGGAAACATCAGAAAGAAAGAACACGAGAAACTCGAGAAATACCAAGGGCTCAGAGAGGAGCTGGAGAGAGCCTGTAAGGTAAAGGTGACAGTCGTGCCTGTGGTAGTCGGAGCACTCGGGGCAGTGACCCCCAAACTAGATGAGTGGTTGCAACAGATTCCGGGAACAACATCGGACATCTCAGTCCAGAAATGTGCAGTGCTGGTAACAGCAAGGATACTACGCAGAACCCTCAAGCTTCCTGGCCTCTGGTGAAGGACCCGAGCTGAATGGGGGACGGACACCACCCGAGGGGTGAGACGAGGATTTATTTTATTTTATGTTTTTTTATAGTATATCCTATATATTTTTTTCTACTTCTTCCTTTCATAACTTTGCTGCTGTGAATTGGGAATTTCTCCATTGTGAGACTAATAAAGGTTTTCTTTTCTTATAGTAGTGTAAGCCTAACCTATAAAACCAAAACATTAATCGTAACAAATATGAAATTGTTTACTTTAATAGAGTAATTTATTGCTTGCATTTGTTAAAATACATATTGGAAGAATAGAGAAACTTGGGAAAAATATATATTTTTAATCGCCGTCACAATATTGAGAAAAAAAAAATCTCAATTTGATTATTTTTCAAAATCGTTCAATCGAAGCGCATAGGGAACTTGCATAAAAAGAAAACCCTAAGGTAATAAATTGCAGGCTCTGAACATAGCCAAGCTGTTCTCTGTATCAACATTTGAATCCGTAAGCAAGCAAACTTTTTTTGTCTGCTCTAAGTTTAACACTTTACAGTGTTCCCTTACGTTAGGAAGGAATCAACGTACGAGTTTTCTGAGTTAAGAGCAAGCTTAAGATACACCACTGCGACACAAATAGCACAATATCCGCTCAGCATTCCGCATCTCTCTCACAATTCGATATAGAGTGAATTGGATAGTCAGCTTACTCACAAAATGAATTCAACATGTAAGTCAATGTACCACTGTACTTATATGAAAACAATTCCATTCTGTATGTCACTCACAAGCTCTCCGGGTGGCTCCAAAGGATTCAGAGATAGGAAATCGGCCACAAACGAAGCACATCCTTCCCAATTGAGCAGCCCGGGATGGCTTGTCATGGTGGGGCGCAGAGTGGTTGAAACAAACTTCTAAACACACACACACACATACACGCACACACACACACACACATATACACACACACACACACACACACACACACACACACACACACACACACACACACACACACACACACACACACACACACACACACACACACACACACACACACAGGGATCAGACAGAGCGACAGAGTTTACCTCAGTTTGGGCAGTGTCTAATGATTGTAGGTACATTTACCTGGATGCCGCATTCATTGATGGGGCAGAGCAGCAGTGATTTGCGTTCGGGACACAAAAGACAATACTGACGCTGGAAGTTGTCGGCAATGGCCAGCAGCCGGACTTCCTCCACGGAATTACACTTGTATGACTCAGGAAGGAGTGGACTGGACCTGTGAGACACGCTCGCAACTCAAAACCCAGCTTCTGCACACTCAAATATTATCAACACAAACAGCAATATAGCTCAAGAGTGTTTCAGTGTGTGTGTGTGTGTGTGTGTGTGTGTGTGTGTGTGTGTGTGTGTGTGTGTGTGTGTGTGTGTGTGTGTGTGTCATGAGAGGAAGCGGGGATGGCGCTACAAAAGGGCTAAAGGGGTGCTACAGCCCCATCAGAAATCTGTGTTGCCCAGTTAAGCCTCTCTGGCATTTTATTTGTTATTCTAAAAATAGCAAAAATTATTCACACATCTCTGTATAAGGACAGCCCGGGGGTCCAGTGGTTAGCACGTCGACCTCACAGTGCAGAAGCACCGGCCTCCCTGTCTGGAGTTTGCATGTTCTCCCCGTGCCCGCGTGGGTTTTCTCTGGGGACTCCGGTTTCCTCCCACATTCCCAAAAACATGCATGGCAGGCTGATTGAAACCTCGAAATTGTCCCGAGGTGTGAGTGTGTGCGTGGATGGTTGTTCGTCTCTGTGTGCCCTGCGATTGGCTGGCAACTGTTTCAGGGTGTCCCCTGCTGACTGTTCGAAGACGGCTGGGATAGGCTCCAGCACCCCCCGCGACCCTTGTGACGATAAGCGGATCAGAAAATGCATGGATGGGTTTCTGTATAGGTCGACTCAGGAGAGAAAAAAATCCGGAGCCGTGCCTGACATGAGGTGAGCGGTCACTTACAGGAAATCACTCGCAGCTGAGACATGTATTGGTTCTTGCACTTGCTCATTTCCGTTTTCTGCTTGCTCCTCATTGGACTCCACCAGCATCTCCATCACTTCACCTGTTATTTGACTGACTTGTTTGCCCTTCGAGTGCATCACCAAAATGGCAGCCTGGTCCAAAAATCTGATATCAAATTTCTTAATCACTTGGCAGCTTCCAACATTTCTTAATCGTGAAGCCAAAGTCATTTCATTAGCTTATGCACTACTGTCTGTGCAAAATCGTAAATGAACAACAATGAAAATTATGAGGACCCTCATTTTTATTTTTATTTTTATCTCAATGCAGAATTCCTGGTTCGGGGTCTCATTCGATTGTGTACCTGGTGAAATACAACATTTACATCAGTAAACTGTGATCTAATTTCTGTTTTTACGGCGATGTGACTGGCTGTCAGTATTTTACAATGCTCGAATTTGCACCACCAAAACATACATGGAATTATCTATACTATTACACGACAATATAATGTTAAAAATGTACACACGCATACCGGACTAAAACATACCGTCGTGTCTTGAGCTTCGTTAGCTTAGCGGCTTTCAATTGACTTTTTCTGTTGTCGTCCCGTCGCCGTGGCTACCACCGTGCTGCTCAAGCCCGGTAAAATATGCAACAGATTGGCACATTCGGAGTCGTCGGTCCAATAAAGGAAAAACTAAGCATAATTAAAATACAAAGAATGCTTCTGTCTAATCACAGTGATGTAGCCAATTAGCTACAACTTGATTTGGGATGATTTTTAACACACCCACTCGTAATCGGACCGATGAATTTGACGTTTCTTATGAAGAGCTGACGAGAGGACAGTGCCCAGGGACCGTCAACAATTAGCAACTAGCGACAAGAAAACGAACTATTAAAAATCAATAACTTCGTCATAATTCATCATGGTGTTTCTTCAATAATAACACACATACGAGGTCTCTAGCTGGTTGCAGTACAACCCTTATGTTGGATATTTGTTTTAACGTTTGGGATTTTAAAGGAGAGTTAGTATCAATACTCAATAACTTCATGATTTTACATAGATAGGCGTCCAAAACCACATGACATATAGATGGGGACTGTCTGCTTATACTACAACTCTTATTTTGTGAAAATAAAATTTTCACTACTTTTCACAAAAAAATGTTTTTAAATACTGCTCAATAATTTCATGATGACGCATCATCATGTTTCCAAAATCGCCTCAAATATAGATGGGGACTATCTACTTATATTACAACTCCGATTAATAGAAAATAAAATTTCCCGTATTTTCGAGACATTTTTGTTGTTATGACTGTTCAATAACGTCATGGTAGAACATATTTCGGCCTACAAAATACATCACACATAGATGGGGACTTCCTGCTTATATTAACAACTCTTATATTATGAAAATGTCCTTTCCTGTATTTTATAGGATTTGTGTTGTTGTTATTATTGTTATCGCTGTTCAATAACTTCATTGTAATACTCAATTTGGCCTCCAAAACCACGTCACATATAGATGGGAATTACCTGCTTCTACTACAACTTTTATTTAATGAAAATGTAATTTCCGGTATTTTCAAATTGTTGTTATTGTTATTTTTGCGCAATAACTTCATGGTCGTAAATAATTCGGCATCCAAAACCAAATCACCGATAGATGGGGACTGCCTGCTTATACTACATCTTTTATTTTATGAAAATGTCCTTTCCTCTATTTTTGGGGGGGGGGTGTTATTGCTGTTATTAATGTTCAATAACTTAACGATTGTACATAATTTTGCCTCCAAAGCCACGTCACCTGTAGATGGGAACTCCCTGCTTATACTGTACTACAACTGTGATTTCATGAAAATGTCATTTCCTGTATTTTTGAGAATTTTGTTGTTGTTATTGCTCAACAACGTCAAGGTAATACACAATTAGGCCTCCAAAAGTACACCACATTTGGATCGGGATGACCTGCTAATCGTACACCTCTTATTTCATGAAAATGTAATCTTCTGCATTTTTGAGGATTTCTTTTTTGCTCTTATTACTGTTATTATTGCTCAATAACTTCATGGTAATACATTATTAGGCCTCCACAACCACATCATTCTCCAAGCTGCCATTCGCCCTGGAGACCACCAACCTCCTCATAATCCACGTCTTCCGTCTTCATGGGATCCCGGTGGACATTATGTCGGACCGGGGTCCCTAATTCATTTCCAAAGTGTGGAAGCGGTTCTGTCGTGCCATTGGAGCCACAGTGTCATGTTTCGGTTTGTGACCAACTGGTGGCACTGTGGGGCTTTTCCCTGCAGCTGCACACCTGTTAGTCGTTAGGTAGTGGCTATAAAAGGACTCCCGGCCGACTACTCATTGTCGGGTCATTGTTTGTTGCCGTTAGTTTGCTACTGTCATGTTTGTTCCAGTCATGTTTCTGTTCTAATTTTTTGAGCATCAGTCATGGTTTTGTTTGATACTTTGGATTCGTTTTGGTTGTTAGCACTTTGTTTTGGATTTAGTTTTCTCCGTGTTTTATTCAATACAATTCGTCAAGTTCACCCTGCTCCTCCCTCCTACCTGCTTTTTGGGGTCCACCACCATCATGCTACGTGACAGAATGACCCGCCCACCTGGACCATGTGCCGGGCGGAGCACGTCTGCGGCCGACACCCTTTTCCCCTTCAGGCAGTGCTGGTGATGCGGCTGTCCCATGTTCCCCCTTCAAGCAGCGCTGGTGAGACGGCTGTCCCATGTTTTCGTCTCGTCAAGCTGCGTCTACGGTGGGCCGAGCCCCGTCCGCGTCCACATTGAGCCGAGGCTTGTCATGTGTCTGTTCGAACTGAGTCACATTCACTTCCACAACGAGCCGTGCCAGGTCCACGCCCACATCAGGGCGAGCCCCTGTTCACGTCCGGCTGTCCCATGTCCCCCGCTACGTCGAGCTCCGTCCACGTCAGGCCAAGCCCAGCCAAAGGGTTGCCGTCGCTTTTGTTCCTGTTCCCTGGCGAGGCGAAGGTCGCCGTCGCTTTTGTTCCTGTTCTCCGGCGAGGCGAATGTCGCCGTCGCTTTTAGTTCCCGTTCCCCGGCGAGGCAAGCCTTTTGGACAACTTTGGGACGTCTGGGATCCGTCCCTTGAGGGAAGGGTACTGTCATGTTTCGGTTTGTGACCAACAGGTGGCACTGTGGGGCTTTTCCATGCAGCTGCACACCTGTTGGTCGTTAGGTAATTAGTGGCTATAAAATGACTCCCGGCTGACTACTCATTGTCGGGTCATTGTTTGTTGCCGTTAGTTTGCTACTGTCATGTTTGTTCCGGTAATGTTTCTGTTCTAGATTTAGAACTGTCACTTTAAGAGCCACGCTCAATCAAAACACGTGGGAACATTTTGAGCGAGTGACAATCAGACCAGGAAATAAAGTGAGGGTGACATGCAGTTAAAGGAGAGTAGTCGCTTAACTGTGACTACTGGTTGTCCCAATTTGTAGTGATGGGAAAATGAAGCCTCATGAAGCAATGAGGCTTTCCATCCAACTGGTTCGTTCCTGGGCCGAAGCATCATGAGGCTTTATTTGTGCTACTGCGCCATCATGTGGAAAATAAATGTCATGACAGACAGTGATTAAAATGATACCATGGATTTGATGTAGAGGTAAAATCCGGCCAAAAAAATTCCAGCCCGACCCGGCCTGCTGGTATTTAAGCCCAACCCGGCCTGAGCCCGACCAATTATCTTGATTTACAGGCCCGAGCCCGAAGCAAACCCGAAATTTCCTATTTCATTTGTGATGACTCGGGAGGAGGAGGGGTGATTTATAACAAATTAAAGCCTGTCTTTTGTCACGAAATCCAAGTTAAACAAGTCTGTATAATTATTTGCATCTTTTAAACATGTATTTCTATTTCTGCAGAGGGTACATTAACCGACAATTTTCCATCATTGACGGATTTTTTTTAAGAGTGGACGGGGAAAATTTAAGGCCGTCCGTCATTTTGACGGGTTGAAAATTGGGCCATTCACCACAGCAGCAGTACGTCCTTAACAAATCGAGTGCGGCACTTGAAGAGAAGCAGCGAGACAAAGAAGAACAATGACGGCTGGATCATAGAGACATGAAGGAGTTCTTTGAATTGTCATTGCGAGTGTTTAGTACAGTATGTGTTGTGATGAGGCCACTTCTGTTTTTTGGCGAACCCCGGTCTCTCGTGGCCAAAACTATTCACGGCCTCACAACGAACAAAACAAAATGTCAGCGAGAGAGAAGCCAGACCCGACCCGCGGGCTCAGGCGGCCCGATCTTACCTCTAGGTCAGTGTCACCTGTCAGCTCATTGTCGTCCCGGTGCGCCGTTTTATTTCGAATCACCCGCGAAACTATTTGTTGGCGGTGACGTAGGAATCCCATCTCGCGAAGCTTCGGGCGGAGCAACGCGCGTTCCGAGGCATCAGGCGTGGCCACAAGCGTCATCGACACATGCCTCGATGCGCGCTTCGCAGATTTTCTTCCGGTTTACTCGGCACACGCATCGGAGCCTCGGCACAGTCGGGCACATCACTACTTTTTGGGGTCCACCACCACCACGCAAACGTGACACACAGCAAGCCTATCATCTGGTTACCACCCCTAGTCCAACGGGCAGACGGAACGGATGAACCAGGACCTGGAGGCAGCTCTGCGATGCGTGTGTCTCCACCGTCCCTCAACTTGGGCTGTCCATCTGCCTTGGGTGGAGTCCAAGCATAACAACCTGGTCTCGTCAGCCACAGGTTGGTCTCTGTTCATGTCTGCTTATGGCTATCAACCTCCACTCTTCATATCTCAGGACGGGCAGGTGGAACTCCTGTCGGTACAGCTCCACCTAAGACGGGCTCATCGCGTGTGCAGGGAGACCAGGGCAGCTCTGTCACACACCACTGCTAGAAACCGGCAGATTGCAGACCGTCAACGTCACTCGGCACCAAGCTATCAGGTGGGGCAGAAGGTGTGTCTGTCAACAAGGGATCTGCATCTGGCCGGTACTTCGAGCAAGATGGGGCCACGCTTCACGGGACCTTTCGAGGTGGAATCTATCATCAATCCAGTCTCCGTCAAGCTTCGGCTGCCACCGACTATGAAAGTCCATCCCGTCTTCCACGTTTCCCTGCTCAAACCTGTGGCCACCAGTCCCCTGGCTCCTCCTCCCACCCCACCTCCTTCTCTGCGTGCGGGAGATCACCGGCGACCCTGTGAGGGAGGGAGATCTTGGACTCTCGGTGCAGGGGTAGGGGTGTCCAGTACTTGGTCGACTGGCAGGGCTACGGATAGGCAGTGGCCCCCCGCTCCTGGATCTTGGACCCATCCCTTCTCCGTACCTTCCACTCATCCCATCTGTCAAAACCGGGCGGGCCGCCAGGAGGTGTCCATTGGGGTTCTTGTGTCCCCACCAGGTGACAGACTGGAGCCAGTCCTCCAGTGTGCACACCTGCTGCCAATGTTGTCATCAGGGAACCATGTATTTAAGGACCGACAAACCTTCAGCAGTTTGTCGGATTATTGTTGACCTTGCTGTTGCCCAAGTGATCATTTTTCTAGACCTCTTGCTCTCGTCATATTAGTTCTGGTTCCCTGCATTCTTTGTTTTTTGTCGGTATCGTCTTAATTTTATTATTTGATCTCGCCTCGAGTGAATTGGATTCTTGGCATTTTGTTTGGTATTCTCGGATTAATTTCTTCCTTGCCTTTTGCAAGCACTTGTGGTTAATGTATTGTTTTTCTTTCCATGGTCATTTTTGACCAGCGATTTCTGTTTCCACTTTGTCGGTGCATTTTGCGTGAATAAATATTTTTTTGTTACGGAGTTTTGCCGGGGTTCTAGAATTTTGGGATCCTAAAACATTATTTGGTTCACTTTGAACCTGACATGGCACCCTGTTCAATTTGGTCAACGTTTACGTCACAAGTCTGG